TATATATATATATATATATATATTTGAATTAGGATTTTACTTTATTATATTAATCAAAGAGATTTAAATAAACCAGTGGTATTAGTTTTAATTTTTTTTAACTTATGTTTAGTATTATATATTATATATAATTATATATACACATTAACTTAGCATAAATAATCATGTTAATTTTTTTTACTTAATTTATTATGCCTAAATAAATTATTTAAAATTTAAGTTAAAATATTTAATCTTAAGGTTTGGAGGTATTTTCACTAGAAAGACATACTACCAAGAAGGTTTGATTGGAATAATTTGTTGGTCTCGAAAGAACACGAATTTAGAAGACACGGGTTGAATACATTCTACACTTAGATGACTTTCTATGATCTTTAAAACCTTTTTCTTATTCTCTTATTTCTTATCCCAATTACAATTAATCAAATTCAGATTACAAATCAGTAATAAGATACAAAATATCATATATAGCATGCAGTAAATCAAATACTTGTAATCTAAATTGATTTTAAAAATTACCGTCTTTTCTTTTATTATTACCAAATTACATATATGATGAACTAAATATGAACATTAATTGATAAGAGATAAAGAAACATTTTCTAGAAATCCTTTTTAACAAATATCTCAAGTGGATAATAAAATTATATCAAGAGATGAAGGTTAAGAGATAATTACACAACGATCTATACTAGTTTAGCCATAAAAGGGCATACACCCAGTTCTTGACTTAGCACACCACTAAATCAAGTTATTCCACTATAATATTCTTTACACACACCATGTAGAATCATAATGAAAATCATATACAATCTTGAATCCACAAGATTTCATAAACAAAGATTCCTACACCCCACAAGAACCTACTTGAGAAAAACCTAGTCTTAAGATTTCTCTTAACTCTTCTTGAGACATCCTATCTCAAAGAGTAACACAGCCCAAAAGCACAAACAAAGATTTAAGATCAGATAGAATACACTTTATATGTTTAGAATTATCTTGTATAGAGATTAGCTAAAAAAATCTTGAAATCTTTCAAGAACTCATCTTCTTCAATCAATCTTTAACACTTGTATTCTTTCTGAAAAGTTTGTGATATTATCTTGTTCTAAAACGTTTTTCAGAGTATTATTATATTTTTAAGTTTTGAAAAGAATTATATTTATAGTGCAAAGAGTATTTCAACATTTAAAATTTTCATAACAGTTGTAATCTATTACTTGTGAAAGTAATCTATTACCAGAGTTTTAAAACCAAACCACATTGATTTTAGAATAGACATAATCTATTACCAGACATGGTAATCAATTAATCCATACTTCTTAGTAAGCATAAAACTCAATTTGTACAGAGGTAATTGATTACTAGAATGGGTAATCAATTAACCCGATACTGAAAGCACTTATTTCACTCAAAAGTCACCATGGTAATCTATTACCACAAATGATAATCGATTAAAACAGTGAGAGCTATGAATTTCAATCCAAATACTAATTTCAGTAATCTATTACTTGAAATGGTAATCTATTACCTCACTTAACATTTAATTCTTTTGAATGATTCAAGTTTCATTGAATGTTAAAACACTTCGTAATCTATTACCAAAACTTGATAATCTATTACATTATCTTTTCACATAAAATGAGAAATATTGAGATATGTTTACTAAAAAAACAAGATAAGTTTTGAAAATAAACAACATAACAAGCAAAACACATACAAGTTTAAGTCTTATGAAACAACCAATATAATATCCTTTTAACATGGGCCAAAAATATAAAATGAAGCAAACTTAAACAAAGCTACACCAAAACTGAAACTACATCTTCAAAAAGGCTTCAAACTCAACATAGTTAAGTTGTGCAAGATATATCTCATGCTCACCAGGGTAATATTGAGACTTCTAAACTAAGCTATTCCCAAGGTTGGTTCCGAAGCTTTTACATAAGAGGCCTTCTTTTACATGTATTCCACATCGTACCCTTAAAAAACATCTTTTCTGCACGTGATGCATGTCAAATAGACTATGTGCATTACATTCATGGGGTTCCATAACTTCACATTTCATGTATCCATTATATCCCATTACTCATCATCATCACATTATAAGATTTACAACATAGAATTACACAAAAGAACAATAGAAGAATCGTAGGTAAAATTTTGCTCAATGACACACATCTTATGCTCAGCACAATACCTTCAAAGGACCACATTGGTCTCTGTTTGGACCACACCCAACGTGATCTAGTTCATGCCCTTGAGAACACCATTGAGAGCTCCTATGCCATCCACGATTGACAAGAATTAGATCACGCACGACGGAAGCATCATATGGAACTCTTGGAGCTTCTGTGCCCGACGAGGGTCATCCCATGCTTGGCATCAAAGACCTTGAGAGCAAACTTCGACCTTGATGATGCCTGATGCACCTTAAGTGGCACTTGATGACATATCAAAAACCACATGCAACAAAAAATGTAGAATTACAAGAAACAACTCAATTCACCAAAACACAATTTAATCGGTAAAAGTGTTCTATAACATACAATTAAAATTCCGTATCCCTCAATTTACACATACAACCACTATCCTTACACTACCATCACAACAAGTTCCCATTGGGTTTCCTATGGGAACTAGTAGGGACCTTAAGTCACATAATTATAATTCAAATCACACAATTGATTAATCATTCAAACAATTCATGTTATTAATCAAGTATAAGAAGAACAAGAAGCAAAACAAACACAATTGGGAAAAATCATTCATACATGAGCATATACATCATACATAGAATTGGGGGTCAATCCCACTGCTCAACATACAAACCCGCACCTAAAGTGAGGTTTCTCACTCCTCCTTACCTAAATAAGCATTAGATGACAGGTGCACAACTTCAAAGTGATTTCCTTCCTGTCCTTGTTCTCTAAGCTTTAAAGCACATATGTAAAAATAAAAGTGTAACAGGGGTTCAATAAGAAATATGCTATTTTAAAAACCTTAACCTCCCTTTAACCCTCTAGTTAAAATATTTTAACCACAGTTACAAATTGTCTTCCCTTTTAATAAATATTAAAATAACCTTTTAATAAAATACCTTATATAAAATATATCAAAATATACCAAATAATCAAATAAATATTAAAAAAGTCCTTATTAATAAAAAAAATCAAAATTACTAATAAAATACTTATATTACATTTTATGAAAAATGGGATGTTACAAGTGTGACATTTCTCCAATGGTACAAGGCCACCAAAGGGGAGATGAATAATACGACAAAGTAGGGGTGAGCACAGGGCGATCATAGTCGAATTTAGGTAAAAAAAAAACCTTATCCATATTATTAATCAAAATTGGAATAAATTAAACCGTTTTCGACCAAAGAAGGCTATGGGTATGTAGGTGCAATAGGTTATTCAAGTAGGTTTAAGAAAATATGATGAAGTTAGACATGAAACACATAGAAGGGGGGTTGAATATGTGTGTGTGAGTATGAAGGAACTTTAAGCTATTTTTTTAAGACTAATGTTCTTCATCCAATGCACTTTTAAATACCAGACGGTTATGCAGAATTTTCTTAACACAAGGTCACTGCGTCTGAAAGATTTATCATCTGCTGAGGAAAATGGTTTATATAATAATAATTAAAGTTCTTGCATTTTCCTTTTCAAGATAGTTTCATTTAAGGATAAGTAGTAGATAAAACTTTTCAGTGTAATATATTTGTTAAACAAAATTTGCATCTTCGTCTAAAAAATGGTTTTAATGAAGAATAGACAGTAGACAAAGTTTTTAACATGATTTGTCAATTAAGAAGAGTTTGTGTCTGAAATATAAATAAAAAATGCAATCATTTTCATACTGATTCACTCAACTGAGCTACGTCCAGTCTCCTTTAACTGAAGGGTTCCACTAGATAAACAATTCAATACAAAAGTATTGTCGACCACTTCTGGCCTGTTGACTTCACTCATAAACACTAGTATCTTCTTATCAGCCTCTTTAGGCTAGCATTGAGTATTATGGACCACCTAGGTCAGAACCACTCCTGGTCCAAGTATTCTCGACCTCTCTAAGCCCTGAGTATTCTAGACCATCCCGGTCACGGCCACTCCTAGTCACGAGTATTCTCAACCACTCCTGGTTGGCTAGCTTCACTCACCAGCTCTAGTATTCTTAAACCACTTTTGGTTCCCCAAGTATTCTCGACCACTCCTGGCTTGCCAGCTTCACTCACCAGCGCTAGTATATTCTTATCAGCCACTTCTAGCTAGCAGTGATTATTATGGACCACCTAGGTCAAAAGCACTCCTGATCCAAGTATTCTCGGCCACTCCTAGCCCGCCAACTTCATTCACCAGCGCTAGTATTCTTTAATCAGCCTCTTCAGACTCACAGCGAGTATTCTTTGACAAGCCCCTCCGGGCTTTACAAGTATTCTTGCCCTAGCCTCTTCAGGTTT